GTCCCACTCAAGAGTATCAGAAAACCCCATAAATTATCCATAATTATCCGAAAAATAGCTGGCCCGACAAAAACAGCAACCAAGAGACGCATAAACTTGGAAAGGCAGGAGCTGCTCACCCAATTCCCCGTGGGAGGCAGCACCCATACATGGTGAGACACACGTCTATGCCCCGTTGCTGTGATTCCATCTTGGTCCTCATTGGAATCGAAAATGAGCAGCCGCCGACGTAGATGCAGAACAATAGGTAAAACATGAACCACCAACAAAAAGCACTAAAACATACTAAAACAACAACACCTGAAACGAATGGTAAAATCAATTCCAATTATTTCCCAGTGGCACAGGTGCTCACAAATGAGCGCCATTTGGAGTTCCATTCAGGCTTGCGTGTCAAACCCGCACCTGGCTGGCTGTTAACATTTTTCCTCTGTAACACACCTTCAGTCATCTTCAGTTGTATAAAAATTGCCAGAGCTCAAAAACGCCCTTCAAAAACTCAATAACATTTTACTAAAAGCTATGTCAAGCAGCATGTCGCAACACCACATTTGCTTGGCGGATCTGTCTTTGGTTGCGGAGGATCCATGTCCTCAGCAAAGCCTTTCAGGAACGCGTGCAATTGTACTGTTTTTTGAGCCAGCTTGGTTTCCTCTTGGCTGCGAAGCGGAGACAATACAGCATGATCATGCATGATCCACACACATGACATGCTTCCTTCATTTATTATTCCAGGGTGTCGCTACATCAAAAGTTGAAATTATTCCGACAAAACATCGACCACACCAAGCAGGGGGTCTGGAACCTAGGTTTTTAAAATAATTATTCTACATAATTATTCCTGGAGGTGACCCCACACCTGGAATAATAAAGGAAGGTACCCCCCATCAAAACACTCGCACTGACTGTGCGTGTGTGTTTGTGACCCTTGTCCCCCTTCTCTCCGCCGAATCAGCTTCTGTCTTGGCGATTGTGCGCGCTTGGAGCGATGCGTGAAAGACTGGCAGTGGCAAAGGTCGGGCAAGAAAATAGACCAGGAATGGGCCGATGATGAAAATACTCCAAACTGGCTTTTTACCGTGGGAGGTTTCAGAGTCCTGGATTCTGAATGGGTGTTCTATTGTGAACTTTTGTGAGAAAACGGGGCCGCTAGTTGCGAGAATTGAGAATGAGCAACCCAATTGGCTGCATCGACCACATCAACAAAGTGATGCAAAAGGAAAAACAATGAAAAACATGCCTTGCGATGTGTGGCCATTCTTTTATAGGCCTCGGCTAGAAAATGTGAGAACATGAAATCCTAGGCTGCGACGCGTGCGGCGGCTGCCGGCTGCACATTCAGGGTACATCTGCAACAGCCAATCACGGGGCGCTCGGCGGAGGACGGATGGCATGGTGAGATGGTGAACGTGGCCGTGTACAGTTGTTTTCCAACTGCAACCTGTGTATGTGGTACGCTGTCGTGTTTTGTTCACTTCCAGTGAGTGTAATGAAAAATGTAGATTAATTCCCAACTGGAACCTGTGTATGTTGTGCGCTGTCGTTTTGTTTGGTGAGTGTCAGTGAGTGTAGAGAAACGTGTATATTGTATATAGTTTTCCAACTGGAACCTGTGTTTGGAGGCTCCTGTTTTTAGTTTACAAACTCCAAACTGTAATAATAATGAATTAGACAAATTAGATTTGAATGAGCATAACAAAAAATATATTTACAATAGAACTAAATTGGAATTGAATTCAAACAGATAGAATCGAATTAAAATCAAATTTGAGATTGAAAATGATTGAAACGAAACTTAAATTAGACATCAATTAGATTCAAATTTGAATTCAATCAGGTTCAAAATCGAATTTAAATTGGACTTAAACAGTTGTTAAATTCGAATTCAATAGAATTACCGAATTAAAAGGTCTTCTTTTATGAACTCAATTCAATTTTTGTTTTAAACATTAAGCTAAAATTGTATAAGACTAAAATAGAATTGAATCAGATCTAATTTGAAGTCGATTGGAAACAAAAATAACTTTTATTGTTCAATGATTGTGTTGTTTTATATACAATTCAAATCCAAACAACGTCCAATAAAGTTATACAAGTTGTGCAAAAGCCCAAAGGACCAAAACACAAACAAAAAAAATAAAACTGTGAGGAGAATGTTTGGTTCCGCCTCATTTTTCTTAACAAACATCAAATACTGAAAAAGCAAGAAAAACTTATGTTTGTTGTTTTTGATAGTCTTCTTCAACCACAAACCTTCAAAAACAAAAACAAACAATTTTTTTGTTTTTGGATTTCAAAACCAAAAAAATACATAATGCAACCAATAAACAATCTTTTAAGGCTGAACCAAACATTCTCCTCAAAGTTTTGTTTTTTTGGGTTTTGTTATTGTATTTTGTCATTGGGGATATTTGTTGTATGTGTTTCCCGTCATTTGTTATTTTTTTTGAATTGGGAAGTGCATGGCTTTTTGTTAGATTGTTTTATACCCCAAAATATACATCAAACACGGTAAATACCAATCAACACTAAAAATGGTAAACATTTGTGGGGGATACCATATATTTGTATATAAGGTTTTTGTAGGAGCTTACTCAATTGCCATCTATGGCGGTTCTGAGGAAGGCCTTGGGCCTTGTAGTTCGCACGGAAAGGGCGAAAGGTCCGAAAGGGTTCGTCGCTTTCGCCTCAGAGTCAAAGGCATCAGTCGTGCACAAAGGTGCGAGCTGCCAGCCTTGGAATCAGGTCGCTCATTGAACATCAGCAAAACCGAACATGATGATCAATATCCATGAAGATCGATCAGTATCCGGCAGTCAAGCAAGGGGTTGTATAAGTTCCTCCACCCCACTGCTCCATGCTGCTCTGGCGTTGGGTTGGACAATGCCATACAAATGTCCAGAAGTGAGAAACCAACGGACCAACAGTGGATGTCACTAAGCCCACGAAACGATTGTTCAGAGTTTCAGTCCTGAATTTGCCAAATGTGTCAGTCTTATTCCCAAATCCTACGAATCGGCTTGAATAAGTCAAAACGCAAATCGAACAAAAAGGGACCCTTTTGAGTTCAACCTCCACCTTCGGGGCCACGACCAAGAGCACAGTGTCAACATTTGCGGGCAAGGCACCAGTGAAGTCCATGCAGACTAACGGTTTGCTGTGGCCCGCTTTGATTCACGAATGACTTGCCAGCTGCTTCTCTTGTTCTGGTTGCCTTCAGTATCCTTCCCGATAAATATTCACCTGGGTAGGAGGCCAAAATGGGTGGGACGTCTCTTACATGAGATGTGTTGCACGTGCTTGTTGGTGGCGACATTCAACCATGACCTGAGTGTCACCTGAGGGGCAACTTGTGGCCCAAAATAGCTGCCGCAGATCTCACAAATTGAAACAGGACCGACCGAGTGTTTCGCTTCAAGATGGTTCCAGCAACTTCCCCATACAGGGTTGAAGTGTCACTGGTCTGAGAGTGCCCAAGCAGTTCCCAGGAATTTTGAAGCGGGCATGGCAGGGACTGTCACACAACTGGGCAAGTAACCCTTGCATATTCCACCAACATAACATGTTGTTGAAAAAAGCCTGTTCAACACCAAGACATGATACAATGGCAGCTCTCAATGCTGATTTGGCCAAACACGCTGAAACAGAAAAACCTCCCCCTTGTTCTCCATTCCCAAAGCCGATTTTTGCTCCGTCGTAACGTCTCATGGGCTTGAGAGTTGTTTGCACTTAGAAGCGTCCTTGCTCCTAGTAGCGCTGCCAGGAGCCCCTAGTGGCGTCCTTGCTCCTATTAGTAGTAAGGTCAGGAGCCCCTAGTAGCGTCCTTGCTCCTAGAAGCAACTTATTTACTGCAAATTCATTCAAGACGATCCATTGGATGCGATCGCCGCTAATCGCTGCACATGCCAGCTTTGTACTGATTAGATCTTGCTTGAACCAGAAGTGGTACTTCCTGGACCCAACTGTTTGGGTGGTATGGCTCCAAAACCGAAACCTGTAGAGTTAGACTGACGAAGCTATGAGTCATTATAAGCCAGTCACCTGCTCACGTTCTTTGATTTGGGGCTGGATGGCTGGCGGCTGCTGGACGTTTTCAACCCCAATTGCCATTGAACAGATCGTTGGAGCCTGGTTCCCGAGGCAACGTGGTTTCCGGTGAAAAGAAACGACGAAAGGAAGCTGCTGGGCCAGGAGACCTGAGCTATGCAGATGGTTATGCTCCAAGATGGGATTCCTTTGGTCGACAGTTTGAGCACTTGGGTGCCAAGATTCCGGCGGCCTTCTGTCCAGGCGAAGTTGCTGTTAGCCCACGTTAAGACAAGCCGAGACGAGCTGCATTTTTACAGATGTTGAAATCGCCTTCAATGGTTGAAAGGTGTGTGGGTTCCAGATGTTTTGTAGGTAATCACGAAGTCTATGCCGGGGGAAAAAAAATGGGGAAAGAATTTCGTCATCACAACTGGCTTCTGCTTGGGCATGTGCCAAGGGAACACCCGTTTCCAAAACCACCCAAACTGGCACCAAGCTGCTTTGAGCACCATCGGCACTAACAGTATATTTCCGTGTAGCAAGCTGAGCTAAGCCCCATTAGATCTGTAATCTGTCCCACTGACATTCAAAGCTCGTTGCAATCGACCCATGCGGTCTGGAAACGCATGGCTCGATATGGCTCAATAGTCGATAACAGTTTGGTTAGTTCAGATTCAGTCTGTAGTGTGGTGGCGATCAACAACGATCAAAGTATGAGAGTATCAGACTGTTCAAAGACTATTCACATTAACCGTGCCTCGAAAGAACATGAAAGAACCAAGGTTGGTCCAATGGTGTCCAACTCGAAAGAACCGCTTCTCGTATCTTCTAATTGCTTCTCACATCTCACATCCTTTTTTCCCTGCACGCTTTCGTCGCAAGAGACCAAACTGCAGGTCCCCATAAAGCTTCGCACCGTTGATTCATTCGATCCCATGGTATTGGCAAAGCTGCAGCATTTCTGGGACCTGCTAGGACATTGATTCATCCAGCGTCTCAGGCTGTGCAGGTGGAGGGACGGGCTCAGTGGCAGGTGCTTCAGCCGCCAGTGGAGGCACTTCAGTAGGTATCATAGGGGCCACTGGCGCTTCGGCAGCTTGTGGGGCTGGAGGATCCAAGTCTTTCGCAGTTGAGGATGAAGGTATTGCTTGTTGGCAATACTTCCAATCATCATCATCTTCTTCTGCCTTGGGGACAGCATCACTGAGACATACTGAGACATGGCAAAATCTCACACCCTCGACACCTTTTCTCTGCTGGCCTCTTCATCGGATTCATCGTCTTCGCCACAAACGGCTGTGCCCACCGCCGCCACAGACCCAGCGAGACGCATCTGCAAGGGAAGCTTGATCACAAGGACAAATAAAAGCTGCAAATTGCACTGAAGATGTGCTGATCACGAGGGGAGCTGTGAAAAGGATCGCCCATTTCCGAGTCTTCAATGTCTTGAAATGATTGCTGTACCCAAACCCGACAACCTGCTCTAAAGTTGCAGGGTTGGCTGCTGCTGCTGGTTGTGGCCTGAAGCAAAGGCACAGCAGAAGGCTAAAAGCCATTAAACGATAGAACAAATGAACACACACGACGACAAAAACTGCGGTACAAAGTCTACATGTTACATCGCTTTCCAACTGTCATTCACTGAGAGCCGACTGAAGCGATCGAGCTGGAGGTGGTGGGGCCTGAACTTGGTAGTTGACATCTGTGAGGTACCACCTACTAGGTCAGAAGCGCAGCTGCCTCAAAAATAAGACCATATGATATATGGTGTGATATGATATGATATAGTATTCAGTGACACCTGGTGCAGAAATTAGCTCAGCACTCAACCTCACTGTAAAACAGGTCGAGGTCCTCACTGCCATTGTCTTGTCCAAAACAATCCGTAAACGGACAACGTAGGTCCCATGACTTGTCTTCAGAGTCATGTCCTCCAAACTCTGTACCACCGGCATGTTGTTGATGTTGGAAGGCAGCTGCACTCTCTGCTCCTGCGCAAGTGGAATGGGGACAGTGACCCGCTTCACAACCTATTGGCCCCCCCTTACCATCAACTTTCCAGTCTATCGCACCTCTTCGTAAATCGTTCCATGCACCTCATCAAATCTCCCTCAGGAATTGAAGCACATATTCCCGCTGTCCATGTGTGAGACGTTGCCCACTGTTGAGGAGGAGATGCTCTTTGGTGCCGCTTCGCGAGCCTTCTCTGCTGATACATCCTGGCACAAAACTAGTAGTGGAGTGGTGGTGGAGAACAAGTTCCATGTCGTATGTCAGAATCTCGCGAAAGTTCATTCTAGTAGGATCGCTCTTGATCATCTTGATCCCACCTTAACTTTCCTCAGCTCATCGGAGCTATTCTCCTGGCTGGAGCGTTAAAGCTGGCAAAGCAACTCAAATAAGTCTTACAGTAAATCATAGTAAATCACAGGATGTTATTATGCTGAGAAAAAGCACTGGATCAACACCGCTTGGGGTTCAAATTGGGTTCACAACATGAGACTCGATGTCCGCACAGTTTGGCCGGCTTTCGATGGCCCAGTGTCCTCCGCCCAAGGTGGCAGCGGGCGGTAAGACTCCAGTGGGAAGTCCAAGGCCTTGAGACAGGTGATCCAATGGTCCCATCGAAGTGGGACTTCGATGCCGTCAGAACAACACGTCCATAATTCAGACTAAAACCGCGTTTTGACACGGCCCTTGGGCCTATGGACAGTAGCATTCAAAAACAAACGACGAGGATACCGAGAAGAAATGCACAAATTCTTGGGTGTCTTGAGTCGGAGGCTTGAGCAAGTGAGCCGATCATCCAGGTGGATTCAATGGCCACCTGACACATGCTCCAGCCGACGCGTCCTTAGGTTGGAGGCCATTACTACTAGTAACAAGAAGCTCCCAGTAGCTCCTGGCATTATATACTACTAGTAGCAAGAAGCTAGTAGCAAAGGGCATTACTAATAGGAACAAGAAGCTATCAGGTTGGAGGCCATCGCTCTTAGAAGAACGGGACAGTGGCGACGGTGACACGCCTTACTGGGTCCATCTTCACTTTTCTCATCCAAGCCAGCAGCTGGCCGTGGCCGATGCAAAGACAGAATTGGGGGACGCCAATCAAGTAGAACACACGCACACGCGCACCCGTAAACTTGGTAAGAACAATGACCAAGAAGAAAATTCATGATGAAATGACATGAAACGTGTCAAGTTGATGATGGATGTCAAAACACTTTCTGCGCTATATGAGCGGTGAAACAGTGCATGCTTGAAGAAACACTGGATTGGCAAACCATCCAGCGGTGGTGTCCCACTGATGCAGGCCCGGCAATACCTCGTGCAAGCTCATCTCTAGCGGTGGTGATGCAGCCATCAACTATGCCAAGGATACCCGGTTCCAGCGATGTTCTAGTTCCCACTGGACCGTACCACAGGTCTTTCAAGAAATGGACCCCACCTCCCATTAGAAGACCAATAGACTCGGTTAGACCAATAGGACCAATAGGACCAATACCATCCACCGGCGCACCAAAGGCCCATCTGCTCGAGCGGAGTCGCAGCTGCGTCGGAGCTGAGAGCCGCCTAGGTCGCGAGGAAGGCGCCGGAATCCCAGAACTCTTGCCAGGCACAAGAAGGATGCAAGAGCTAGGCTCAGAAACCAGCAACATCAAACAACCCCTCTGCCCCTCTATGGGTGAAACATGGTGCAAATCACGCGGATTAAACATCTACCTTGTCACTGATTCCATCACAAGATGGTAGACAGTTGGAGCATGAAGACCGAAGAGTTGCCAAACAACGGGGCACCTTGGCAGACTCCTTGATGCTCTTGAGCGCACGGGCCTTGACTTCCCAAAAAGACTGGAAAAATATGGTATAACATACAAAAAAAAACTCAAGATTGGTGGCATTTGCTGGCACTATTTGCATCTGTTTGCTTCTGATCCCCTTGTCATATTATGTCATACTTAATTCTTCTTCGAACAAGACTGCAATCAACATGTAGTATACATCCCTCATTGCTCAGGAGACTCGCGGCAGCAATCTCAAAAAGTTACTTACAGTAGTGACTGTGCTCAATGTGCCAAGTAGTGATGAATGATTGTCGTATCTCAGCATATCTCAGCCCTTGACTGTATCCCGCACATCCCAAGAAGTGTCGAAGGAGGCTAAATTGCTCATGTGGTCGACGATGGCCTTCCACAACTTGTCTTGGATGAGAAGTGTTTTGGCTGTCCCACTTACCACTTGTGATTTCAAGTTTCAATGCTTCCTCGAAATGGATGTAGCCACCATTTTATGAAGAGACATGTATATAAATCAATCAGACCATCAAGGAGCACAGTAGACCTCAAGACTCCTGCCTCTAATCTCGGAAGAAGTTTCTCCGACTCATCCTCATTCTCGCCCAACTGTTGAATATGCACTCACTTTGATGTGAGACAAACAAAAAAAGACCATCCATTGCGACAAAAGCTGCACTTGGTTCCATGCAAGATGTGTTGTGGGGTCGTCACACGCACCAAGCAGGTGTAAGTAATTGACTATCTGATTTTCTGTGAAGTCAAGATTCAGTGGTCACGTTCGGTAAAGGAGCTGCATCTTTGGCAGTGCCTGTCAAAATCCACGATTAAGCTCTGCTGGCCCTTGCTACTTTCGCCGCCGCATACACCGCTGTCAGCAATATCTTTGAGTGTGAATGGCCTAAATAGACTGCGGTATTCACAAGATAAGAAGGAATGAAGGAATATTCAGTTGCCATCTGCGTTTTGACCTGAAGCCTTGTCAATCTGCAAAAAGTACCATTCAGTGAGCTGAATGCCTGCTTACAATGCTCTCAGGCTTGTTTAAGCTCATCAGCTGCCCAAAAAATAACATCGTGTTCTGCACTGGCACCTGCGTCCTTGCCTTCTGAAACTGAGGCAGTCTCCTGATTGAACCCAACGCATCACGCTGCGCCAGCACGTGACATGCACATTCATGTGTCTAACATGAGACATCATCAATACAACCCTCCTGAAAACGACACGTCCGGTTGCTCCTTGGTTGGAACCTCACCCCTCGAATTGAGGAGGTGGAAAGCCCAAACCTGCGGAAGAACAGCTGCAAAAGAACAGCCTTCTTGATGCATGGAAGCATGAAGCATCTTATCATCAAAGGAGTTCGTTGATCCAACATTGACATTGGATAGTTTCTACTTTCACCAATGAAGATGAAACATGCCAAGATGTTCACTGAGGGAAGCGTTATTACTTGCTCAAGATCAGAACAACAATCTCTCCGGTGCTCTTTGCGCTCCATGATGAGGGCATTTAACATAGCCCGCTGTTTTCCGGAAACTTTGCAGACTCACCTTCAGCCCGAGCACTAAGATTTGCTGCTTCACCTGCAGCATTGATGGACCAGCACTTGCCAAGTGAGCGATGGAAGTACATGACATCAGCAACTCTTGTATCTGCGGGCACTCAGTCCTGTCATCAACTGTGAAACTTGTCTCCCAACTCACCTTGTGTCACCTTTTAAATCTGTCAAAACACTTGTCATCGGAAAGGGCACGATTGATTGACTTGATCTCTACCCCTCTTTTTTACTACAGTAGCATTGTTGAGGAAACTGCAGCTCAGCACACAGCACTGGAAGCGACATGTTTCCCTCCAACTTCGAAGACTAGCCAGTTCGGAAGAGCCAGCAGCATCTCTGGCAGTACACTTTCAAGAAGCTGCTTGCAAGTGAAAACCTTGGCACAGCTTCTTCGGAAAGCAGTAGCTTTATGCACAAATGCCCCATGACGAGCTGTACAGGAGATGCTCTTGGAGCCATCGCTTTGGTCCGCTCTCTGCCGGGCCGGAAGAACGCCGCTTGGGAGCGTCCTCAATCGTATCCTGGCCTGAAGCGATTCTCTCCAGGCCTATCACGGGATGCAGTTCTGAGGTGGAGTAAAAGCCACAAGTAGCGGGGATGAAAGAAAATCCAAGAAAGGAACAGCTCTAAGTGTCTCTATAGATCTATATACGTGGTTCTGAAAGAAACACTCCAAGCTCTCATGACAGCGCCTTGACCCTGCAGCCTCCAAGACCTGTCAGATGAGCAACCGGATTCGTGGATGCAGAAGGATTCGTGCGTAGCTCCAAGTAGCATATAGCTGCAAACTTAGGGTCAGGCACTCTTCACTTTGTAAAGCTTGTCCATATCCTGGAAAGGCTGCTTTTTCAGCGATCAATCTCAAAGCCAAGAGGCAAAAGCCTGGAATATTGTCATTACTAGAAATGAGAACACACAAATTGACTCTAGGTAGTTCAATAGGGATATGGTCACCATAGCCTTGACAAGACTGACATGGAACCATGTTTGATCATATTTGCGTATGTTGACCATGTATGGACCCCAGTATGGGCTGCACAACTCCCTCAGAACCTTCTGCAAAACCTCGGCCAAGGCTGTCAAGGAGCACAAAAGGGCTCCAGCTCCTCCACATTCGGCCTGTCCAGCTTCCAGCAAACGCCACGCCGAGTACAGTGCGGATCTGACAAAACTAGTGTTAGATCGAGAAAACATATTGCATCTGTTCCAATCGTTCGAGCCTGTCATAGAGGATCTGACCGGACACCTCCATTGCTAATCGGCGCCTGGACAAACACAAGGGCACATGATGGCTTGAAAAAGTGTTTGCACTTTGGTCAAGAAAGCTGATGCTTCTCCTTCTGCAATCTTCTTGCTCTTTCCTCTTTTGCGCCTCATCAAAAACAAAAACAACACAATGCTATCATCTCATGCGACAGGGAAGACTGGGCAAACCACAAAATGATACCAACATATACCAAATAAATTACCAAATATACAAGTCATCAATGTCGTCCAAGAAGGTTTCGACTGACTGAACTTAGCAGTCTGCAGAGTGTCGATGCATCTCCTTTTACCTTCCTTGCAAGAGCCGCCTCGTAGAATTTGACGTCATCATTGACCAAGTCTAGCACCGTTGCACCATATCTATCCTGCAACGGCATGAAGAAAAATCAATACCCAGTTCGACCCCCTGGAAGGTTCGGGAAATAGACCAGTCTGCCCATTGGCCACCACCCACATGGACAGGTACTAAACTGCAAAGGCCAAATACCCCATTAGGCCGGGGGGTCTCCCTATTCAAATACACACCGATGCACTTTGAGGCTGGAAGTTGAGGGACTGGCTGGGCAAATGGGGAGGGCAGGGCCAGGCAGGGTGGTCGGTTGAAGTAGGTGGTAGGAAGAAGACCTGTTGAGAGATGCTTCCGAATGCTTCCTTCATGAATCAAGGCTCTAGAAAGATTCCAGTGATGCGCAGTAGACAGGGATTAGCATAAAAGCTATGAGGAGCCGTCAGATTCGATTGTATCGGATTGGTGCGAAAGTGGAAATTATCGTCCTTTGGGGAGGGCCCGGTCTGGCCCTATTTCTTTGCATGGTTTCCAGGTCTGTTGGACACTTGACGGTGACAACACCGAACGACCAAGGCATTTTTTGTCCGAAGAAAAGCGTGCCCGTAGGTGGTCGTTTTCGATCGTTGAGGGTTATGAGCCCAACCCGCCTTTTTTAGAGCGCCATGGAGCGATCTCGCTCATCCCCACCGGGTTACGACCTGGTGAATCCATGGTGGTCGCAGCGGCTTCGCGACGAAGTGGCTCTCCGGAATAAAAGGCCGGAGAACTTGCCAGTCCCCTTTGATGAGGACCTGGACGGGCCTGGGCCGGAGGAAGCGCGGGTTGAAAGCGCTGGCGGAGGAGCGGGCAGAGTGGGCAAGGGTCGCGGTGTAGCGACGGGCCGCCTGTTTGTGACCCCACCAAGTCGACGGTCCGAAGGCCGAGGAGGCAATCGAAGGTCGGAGGGCAAGTTGCCGGAAGAGCAGCCCAGTGCAGAGGCGGCTCGCAGGCATGAAAGAGATCGGACTATGGGCCCTGTTCCACCTGAAGGAGCACCACCAAGGGGTCCACCGATGGCCGCGGGTGCTGCGGTTCCACCCCCTCAAAAGGGGGATCCTGACAGTTTGCAGCGCGCCTTTGAGGCTGAGATGGTTTTGTTTCTTCGTGAACAGAATGCCAAGCTGCAAGAGGAGGTTGACCAGTTGCGGAGTCTCCGCACCACCAAGGATGCGGCGGCCGCCATGTCCACTCCGTCGTCTTGGGAGACGGTGGATGGGGGCGGGGGCGATGGGGTGCCTCGGAGTGGTCTTCAGGTTGGGAATTCCGCTGAGCCTGATGGTCAAGTTGGTCCCCCATGTTCTGGTAGTGGTGAACCGTCCATGCACACACCGCGGGGAAGGAGCCCTACTACACGAAGGCTTCATCCATCCTATGAGGTGAGGTATACGCCCAATGGAACACAGATCCCAGTTGGTCCACCACCCTCTATGGTAGATGCACCACCAGTTCCACCATTCCCAACAAGTGTCTCGGCTGAATTTAGTGGTGACTCGGCAGAAATGCTGCGGCACTATGAGCTCTTCGAAGCCAAGCGGCGGGGTGACTCGCAATGGGCGCCGCTTAGCATGCGGGAGGGCCGAGCTTTTGTTCCTGGCACCATGGAGCCCAGGGCCGAGCGTTTGGAGAAGGAGGTGACGGAGCTGAAAGCTGCTTTGAGTCGCATCCAAGGCAGTTCCGGCTCCTCGGCTGAAATTCCGGTGGCACCACAAGCCATCGGTGTGCGCAGCGCCTTGGAATGTCAAGGTTTTGTATGGGGCCCTGATCCTGTTTCAAGTGCTGGTGATAGTGCAAACCCCACTGCTGTTTGGGCCACTGGCCATAGAGAAAGACCCACCGGTTCTGATCCCCGAGATGGGGGTGACAAGTCTTACGGTCGATGGCGCCCTGATGGTGGCTCCGCACCACCACCGCTTCCATGGCATGAGGGCGCTGACAATAGCAAAGCTGAACTGGCTGAGTTGGCAGCTGATGCATCGCCCATTGAATTGGGCGACTGGCTCGCGGTTTGCGGGCCGGTGCTGAGGGACATTTCAGCGGTCAGCGCTTGCTGGTGGAATCTCACATTGAGAGAGGCTCAGTGCTATTATGACCGGTGGAAGACCTCATCGCCTTTGGAGAGAGTGCAAATCGCACCACGACTCCCTGATGAGCTGTTGGATGGCTGCTACCAACGCACAGAACAGCTTGCTGCTTCGTGCAATCCCCTCGGACCAGCAACAGATGCTGATCACGGATAGGGAGCTGAATTCCACGGCCCTGTTGTTCCGGCTTCTAGTGCGCTACCAGCCTGGTGGTGCAGGAGAGAAGTCGATTTTGCTCTCCAAGCTGACGACCTTGGACAAGGCAGTGGGAGCAACAGATTTGGCAGCTGCTCTTCGCTCCTGGCGTCGTCACTATGCTAGGGCTCAAGAGATCGATGCTGTCCTGCCTGATGGAACGCTGTTGTTGCGGGCTCTTGAGCCTGCTTGTACTTTGGTGGCTTCGCTGGATGCTCAAGCTTCCTTTCGACTGGCACAAAGTCGTTTGCAGTTGGCCATTGATCAACAGCCCATCCATCAGAGTATTTGGCGGTTTAGCCAATGCCTACTGGCTGAGGCGGAGACCTTGTCGTTGATGAGCAGCACTCCTGTGGTGACCACCTCTCCTATCAAGGTCAAGCAGATGGAAGCGCCTGCCAAATCACCTCCGTCTACATCAACTGGCGGAGACAAAGGCAAGGGTGGTGTGACGAGTTCATCCACATCTACCACCCCATGTCGATACTTTCGTTCTGACGCCGGTTGCAAAGCTGGCAGGAGTTGCAAATGGTCCCACTCATGGGAGGGCATTGAAGATAAACATGCTCGTTGCTGGATTTGTGGTAGTAAAGAACACCGCAAAACGGATTGCAAGATCAAAGCTCATGGACATGGAAAACCTGGTCCATCCAAAGAAGGCAAATCCCAGAGTGAGCCTAGCAGCTCAGGGGAAGGAAAGTCCTCGTCAAAAATGTCCACGTCGCCTTCAACGTCTTACAATGCTGCAGGTGGAGGTGGCAGTGCAACAGCACCAAAGCTTCAAGAAATGGAAGGTCCAGTGGATGCCGCCTCGGAAGTTCCTGCACCAAGTGATGGCAGCAAGGGCGAGACTGGCACAACATCCAGTGAAGCTTTGCTCCAAGAGGCCACAAAGCTTCTTAAGTCTCTGAGGGCACCACAGCTGAAGGTGATCAAGCTCAGTCAGCTGGATGCAGGTGCCGAAAACATGATGGTGCTTTTGGATTCTGGTGCAACCCACGCTTTGAGGCCGGCTTTGACTGAAGGTGAATGGGCTGCAGCACAACCTACACAGGTCACCTTAGCTGACGGGGTCGCTACAAAACTCCGCTTGAAGGTGAACTCCAAGATTTTGGTATCCGACCCGGCTGATGACACTATGAGCCAATCCTGGATCGTTCCACTGGGAGGCATCACAGAGCTGGGTTACAGGTTTGAGTGGAAGGGCGGTCGATGCTCTTTGCGGGATGAGCAAGGCCAAGTGCTTGATGTTTGCATTCAGCATGGCTGTCCGATGGTCACTCGCCAGTTGGGACAAGAGATGATAGCCCGCCTAGAACATCAACAAGTTCGGTTGGTGCGGAAGGCACTGTTGCTCAAGTCAATGCTGGTGGATTCATCAGCTGAGTCCTTGGAGGCGGTGAAGAACTCCACGGAAATGGCCCTCACCCTGAAGATGAAGATGATGTTTCCGGATCTTCCAGACGAGGTGTTGATGAAGGTCATTCCGGATCTCTCATCGCTGCAGGTCAATGAAGGGCATCGAATCCCTTGGAACCGCCACAAACGTCGGCGACTGCAACAGGCCAAAAGCATTGTCATCCACTTGTTCTCCGGGCCGGACCATCGTTTTTGGGAAAAGAAGATTGCTGGCAATGGCATCGAGGTCCTGTGTGTGGGTCTAAGCGGCTATGTCCCTGCAGATCTACATGATGATGCAGTGTTCCGCTTTTTGTTCTTTGGCTGCATCGGGGCGAGTCAAAGCGCTGTTGGCGGGTCCACCTTGCCGCACTGTGTCAGCCCTAAGGTATCAAGATGATGGCGGTCCTGGAGTTCTTCGCACTGAAGAGTATCCCTATGGAGTTCCAACGTTGACAGCCGCGGAGCAGAATCTGGTCACTGGTGATAGTGTGCTTTGGTTCCGCATGTTGGCCTTGTATATGTTGTGCGAGGATGTTCGCTTGCCGGACGAGCCACAGACTGCCTTGGCCATTGAGCAACCCGAAGATCCTGCACGGTATCGACCGGCTGATGAAGTGAAGGTCAAGAAATTCATGTCGGTGTGGCGGACCAAAGAATGGCAATCATTTGAAGCACACTTCAAGGTCCGGATGATCCACTTCGATCAAGGGCCAATGGGCCACATCAAGAAAAAGCCCACGTCAATGGCTGTGGTGCTGCGTGACATCCATGCCTTGGATGGTGTTCGAGGCCCACCAAGTGGAGATCCTCCTGATCCTCAAGGTCAAGATCGAGCCAACATGACGCTGAGGGAGCGCTGTGAAGACTCCAAAGGCTGGGCTGCCTGGGCACCGGGCCTGAAAGTGGCGCTGGTGTTAGCTGTGCAAGATCACATCAACCGTCGAACTACCCCTTCTTTGGAGGCTGCCCTTCGCCCTGTTGGACAGGTGGCGCTTGAGAGCTGGCGTCAACATTATCTCAATGATCATATGCCAGCACGAAGAGATTGCAGGGACTGCGTCCGTTCTTCTGCGCGCAGCAAGCCGCATCGCAAGATCACACACCCTGAAGCCTACACGTTGAGCATTGATCTGTCTGGAAAAATGGTGGTTGGCCAAGACCAGAACAGGCACGACTGCAAGTACATGATGGTTGCTGTGTACACCTTCCCGGTGGATCGCTCTGGACGCTCATTGGTTGAGTTCGCAGAGGCATCAAGCCAACAGGATGATCCACCTTCCATCGATGTTGATGAGTACACTCCTACAGAACCTGGGGGTGACGACCCGGGGGAGGAACTTCTGATGGATGGGGCGCCTGGAGATGTAGAGGGTCCGGGGGAGGCAGGACAAAGCGCAGCAGAAGCAGCAGGTGTGAAACGTGGCCATGCAGCGATGGAAGCATGGCAGCAGAGAATAGAAGAAGCTCAAGATGTCGCTGTCCGCAATGTCACCTTCGTGGAGGTTCTTCCAGGACGTGCTGTGAACAATATCTTGGCTGCATTGGCTCGCATCTACGCGAGGATTCGATCCTTGGGGTTGCCCTTGTATCGCATTCACTGCGACAGAGCTCGGGAGTTGATCTCCGCCCCAGTCCGCCGCTGGACCCTGGACAGGGGAATAGTCACCACCTTGACATCTGGTGACTCGTTCAAAGCCAACGGTCGAGTTGAAGGTGAGCTTGGCGTCATCAAGAAACATGTCAGGACGGTGGTGGCAACAACAGGTTTGGGGCTGGAATACTGGCCACTGGCTGCAATCCACATCGGCGAACGCCGTCTTCAAGGTCAGCTTCGAAATCTTGGATTGCCGGTGGGACCTATGCTTCAGTTTGGCTCCAAAGCCTTTGCACTGAAAAAGTCCTGGCAGGATCGCTACCAACCCTGGCGAGAGATCAGGGATGAGGTGATTGTTTTGGGGCCAGCAATTCACTCTTCGTTGACAAGCACAAGTTACTACGTGCAGTCTGTCGACACCAAACGGTTCTTCTATACCGATGATGTTGTGGTCCCAATGGCTCACCAACCTGAGGCAGCGGAGGTCTGTGCCTACCTTCCAGAGCTTGATCGCCCTCCCGGAGTTCCCCAATGGGAAGGCAGTGTTCCCAAACGTCGCTTGTGGGATAAAACCGCAATTCCGCAGCTGTCCATGTTGTACATGGAGGGGGAGGCCAGTGCTCGAGTTCAAAATTGGCTTTGTGATCACCGTGATCTTTTTGATGTCCATGCACCCAACGACCCCGAGTTGTTCCGCCAAGACGTCAGCAGCGACAGCTGGACGATTGAAACGCCTGAGAGGACGCCGAGTGACCATGAAGGGACACCGAGTGACGGACCCTCCCAAGGTGCAAAAGCTTCGCTGGAGGAGGAATCGCTCGGAGGAGGGGAGTGGGAGGAGGCGCCTAACAACCAGGATGGTGGCTCACGCCTGGTGGCCTCATTGCAATGTCAAGCACCTGGGAGAGCTCCGATCACGAGGGTCCAACTCATTCGGTCCATGCAGGCGAATCTGGCGGACTATGTGGGGGATGAGTTAAAACATGTGGATATCACAAATCCTGACCAAGGGTGCTGTCTTGAAGCCTTAGCCAATGCAATCCTTCAAAAGGTTGATGCGGAGGAGAACCTTCTTCAACACCAAAATGATAATGAAGCGCTGCATCAACAAGAGCTGGAAGAAGAGTTCCTGGTGACCCGGACACTCAGCACCAAGGAGGTCATGGATGACTTTGAAAACTGGATCCCTCCGATCACAGCAGAGTATGATCAGCTGGTGAGAAACAAGGAAGCTGTTGAACAGATCACCAAACTGAATCTCCAAAAACGAGCTGAGAAAGAAGGGAAAGTGATTGAATTGCTCCCTGCAAAAATGGTCTACACCCGCAAATCAGGAGCTGGTGTTCGAAGAGCCCGAGCAGTCGTTTGCGGAAACTATTCAGAGTCAAGGTTCAATGCAGACTGCTATGCAGGAGGAGCTGATGGCTGCCAAGTGAGGGCGGTGATCCGAACAGCTGCTTTGAAGGGATGGTCAGTTGCTGCTACAGATATCAGGGTAGCTTTCTTGAATGCCCCTCGAAGAGAAGATGGGAAATTGGTCGCCATGGAGATCCCTTCGGTCTACAAGCGGCTTGGCTTGGCTAAAGAAGGGGAGGTATGGTTGGTTCGCCTGGCCATGTACGGCTTGACGACTTCTCCAAAGGATTGGTCGAAGCACCGCGACCGGACCTTGCCAGCAGTGAGCTGGGTGAGAATGCGAGATGATCGCAAAGTCCGTGGGCACTTTCACAAAACCACGGACGAAAACTTATGGCGACTGGAAGAAGTAGACCTTGAAACAGGTGAATGTCACTGGACTGGCCTCATGTCCGTGTACGTGGACGATATCCTCCTGACTGGAGAAGAAGCAGCTTTGAGTGCCGGTCTCAGTTCATTGCAAGCAACTTGGACCACATCCAGTGTTGAGTGGGCTTCAGCGCAAACGCCGGTGCATTTCTGTGGGTTTGAAATCATGGCTGATGGAGCTGGAGATGGTTTTCATTTGTCTCAACGCCAATATGAGCAAGAAATCCTCACCCGCTGGAATGTGAAAGAGGCTGTGCAATTCCCTCGCTTCAAGATCAGTGAGGAAGACTATGAGGTGCAGGTCGAATGTGACCGTCGCCAGGTCCGTGAGGCGCAAGCCTTAGCCGGGTCATTGCTCTGGTTGTCAACAAGGTCCAGGCCTGATTTGGCCTATGGTGTGGCAGCTCTTAGCCGTCTGATGACGAAGAATCCCAAAAGGGCCATTGAAATCGGCCACAACCTCCTGGCCTATGTCAAAGGCAGCCCTGGTGACATGCACTATCCCAGGGAGATCCACCAAAAATGGGGTGCTAGAAGTCAATTGAAGGTTCAGCGCCACGACAAGCTCATCGAGGTCTTCGCTGACATAGCATATGGTGCTGGCTCCAACCATCGCAGCATCCAAGGACTGGTGACTTGCTTCGCTGGCGCTCCGGTGGCTTGGCACAGCTCGGTTCAACCCTTCGTGACCCATAGCACGGCTGAAGCAGAGCTTGTCTCATATTGCGAAGCCCTCACGACTGGCAGATCCATTGAGGCTTTGATGTGTGCCATCTGGGGGGAGGATCTCACTTCATCCAATCCCTTTGAGCGGGTGATTTATGGAGATAATGTTGCTGCAATCGGTCTCGCTTATGGCAATAGCAGTTCATCATGGCGGACACGCCACCTCAGGGTCAGAGCGAACATCCTCAGAGAAGCTCTAGAAGATCAGGTTGAGTTTCCTGGAGGTAAGTGGCAGCTCCATCACCTGAAAGGAACAGAGTTGGTGGCTGATGGCATGACAAAGCCATTATCTGGCCAAAGCTTCTTTGGCTTTGTGTCGGATCTGGGCCTACAAAGCGAGCAGGTCCAGGCGAAACGAGTGGCTATGGGCGATCGACACCTTCAAGTACAAGATCGCGCAGTGGCCTTGCAGATGCTAGTGGTGGGGGGAGCGATCATCCAAGCCACCCAGGCGGCAAACACAACGGGTTCAACAGAAGCCCATGATAGTGACCTTCCTGTCGATGCGATTTGGATGCGTGGCCTAATCCTGGTGTGGGAAAGACAGCGCTGAGTTCCATAGGCTGCTGTCTCGAAAGATTGCATGGTGTCATCAGGCAGCCACAGCCACTTTGCGAAGATGAGGAGGAGGAAGAAGAAAGGGATGGCTGGAGGAGGACACCACGGTTGAGAAGAAGCGGAAGAAAAGGGGGAACGCATGAGGTTCTCGAAGAAGACAGCCCAACCATGACGGAGATGGCCAGTGAAGAAGAGGAGGGGGCTATGTCAAAAACGAGCTCTACGTCCAACCCTACCCGGAGACGATCGGGCTCGCAGGTGCAGCATGGCGCTTCCTCACACCGCTCAATGCCAAGATCAAACGATCAAATGGCAGAAGCAGCTGGCGAAGCTGCAGGTGTGGCAGCTGACGCTGCAAAGAAAGCTCTACGAGCTGCTGAGGTTGCTAGTTGGGCAGCCAGAAGCGCGGAAAGAGCATCACAGCTCATGGAACAAGTGAGCCACATGCCTTCGGAAGCCGCAGCATCGAGTGCCGCGTCATCAAGAGTGGCACCAAAAGCTGCAGCATCGAGTGCCGCATCGTCAAGAGTGGCACCAAAAGCTGAGTCTCAAGACCAGCATCCATCCAACCCCTGGAACAGATTCCACCGGGAAGAACTGGGGTTCGGAGAAGATGCGTGCTGAGTATTTCAAGGCCAAAACTCAGCGCTACAGCAGAATGCCTTGAGCCACGGCACGTTTTGTGGCTTTTTCACGATCGCCAGATCAAAAGAGACCTGGCGAGGGGGAGTCTGTTGGACACTTGACGGTGACAACGCCGAACGACCAAGGCATTTTTTGTCCGAAGAAAAGCGTGCCCGTAGGTGGTCGTTTTCGATCGTTGAGCCAGGAAATCACCGTGCTTTATATAGATGGGCTCCTGGCATCGCTACTAGGATATCCATTCCATCAGGCTCCGACATTGATGAAGGACTTCTGGTTTCAGGTGCTATATAATCTATATAGGTTCATGGGTCTATCCCGGAGGTCTCCATGCAACTAACGGTTGTCGCTAAGTTATGGCCACGGTATGCCACGGTTATAGCTTTGACACGGTTCAATCAGCTTGGACAACAAATGGTATCACAACTGCAGAAAACACAGACGCCACAGGTTGAATTTCCCTCATCAGTTTTGCCAGTTGTTTGCGAGAAGTCCAATGGACCGTCTTATGTCGTTACAGGTTATCGCTTTTTTAGGGGGAGCCCTCGCTTTACATGGTATGAATGGTGCATTTTCTCAGCACAACTGCGCCCTCGCTACTAAAGTGACAATCCCTCGGCTTATTTGGACCGAGGCTCAATGAATCTCTCATGATGGTTCCGGAGTCTGGTTCTGTTCAGGCAAACACAACAATCCCAAAGCACCCCGTAGATCCCACTAGACCATGTTCGCTTTGATGCCCCAATTGGAGATCCCAAAGTTGCAGCCTTATCCAGGGAGCGGTCCAGCTTGTCAGGTGAAACTCTGGCAGTCCTCTGCATTAACATTGGCTTTGGCTTCCAGTAGCCGCTCGACAAAGGAGGGCGACCTGGGCATTTCCAAAAAGTACGGACTTCGCTGGGCTTCGCCTCACCAAACCTCTCTATGCGTCCCGACCAGGCTTTTGCTGCAAACATCAAAGCTGTTGCACCCATCTGCACCAAGTTTGTTGATGCTACGAGGACCGTTCGGACAATCGGTGCAAGAAAATGCCAGAAGTTATAGATGTATATAAATGTTATAAAATGTTATAAATCACATCAAACAAAAACATGACTTGAGGTCCTCATTGGGCTTGTTGACATCTACTTTGGTCTTCAAGCACTTCTCCAGTCGTGAATGACCTGAGCAAAGATGCCTCTGGAAGTGAGCTAGGGCCGATGCAAGTCAATCTGTCCTCAAGCTGAGGCTCCGGCTCTTCCCAATGCCGCACAAATAGTACAAGTCCTATTGAAGGGGCACAAAATGAACATGAAAATGAAAGCAATCAGGCGAAACCAAAAGAAACTTCTCACAAGAAGCCCGGTCCATCTCTGGAGTTTCCTTCAGGACCTCTGCGAACTTCTTTTCCTCCGGGAAATAGTCCTCACCGAAGAAACCCGACGACTTCCGAAGCGGAAGAACGACGAACGAGATCTCTCTTCTGTGGTCGACTCTAAAAGGGAACGCGGCACGGAGCGGACGTCACGGAACGCGTCACGCCCATTCGGTTCGTCTTTGCTTCGTCCTTCACGGACTTCTGATCCAGTATTCTCACCGGCCTCAACGCCCGACCGACACAAGGCGCTGCGCCCGCTGCGATATATGTCCGATTCACAGCGGCGATCACATGCGATCAAGGACGCGACATGAAAAGCCAGGTCTGCAAGCATCACTCTTATATGGCATATGATTTGCTGAGGTCCAAGCATGGCTTCTGACCCAACCGCTTCGCGTTTTGAGTTCCAAACGGCTTGGGCAGGAAAGCCGTGCGGCCGTTCAGTTGCCCATGTTCATCGGTTTTGGAGTTTGATACGACTGCTACTACTCCCCTTAAAGAATCTCATCACTGACTGAATCAAACACAACACAGTGTCACTCTATGCACAGAAAAAACCGCTGACAATCTTCGCGTTCTTCGCCTCTTGCCGCTCAGCCGCGAAGCCCTTCGCCAAGCGTCGCACCACGTCGGGGGCCAGTTTGGCCACCTCCCAATGCTGCTCGGCCCAGTGAATGGAGTTGGTGCATTGCAAGGAGCGTAGCAGGGCTCAGTATCAGTAGCGACTTGCCCGAGAAGTTCATTCAACAAAGAAAAGGACCTTAAATTCCAGTAGCATAGCACGTGCAGCTACCATCCTGCAACCCCCACGGCAAACAAAACGTGGCAAATCACTTGAACGGCATCATACACTTTCCAGTCTTGTTCACCGAGCCAGCCTCTTGCTGGTAGTGACCGATCATCCAAACCACGGAGGCTCTTGCAGTTGGTGCTGACAAGTCCTGGCTCTGTGACACAACATCACAACGCAGGAAGAAAGCAGCTTATGCGGCTCCGATTTCAAGCAGAGGCACAACAGTTTTGAAGAAGCTGGGGTGGGACAATCCAGGCAGTTCAAGACCCTCGCCTCCAAATACGTCACAAGATGTGGGAGGACGCTGCCCAACCTGCAGTCTTTAGCTTTCCAATGCTTTGTCAGAATTCATTGATTCCTCAAGCAGTATACTATACATGTATATACTATCCGAGAAGCTGAAACTACTACTTTGAACCACTGAGTCCTAGGCCCACTGTCTTTGCTGCTATGGCGCCGCTGAAGCAATGCTCTGAGCGACACTACGGCCTGACAAACATCTTGTCTGATCGATGCCAACCTTCGTAGTCATCAATGTATGAAAGAGAGTTTGGCCGTAGCCTAAATTTACGGCTTACATATATGGTTTGACCAAAGGCGCTCGGAAACACGCAGCGTGAGTTTCGGAAACTCGGGTTCGGAAACTGGAAAGGTGGGGTTCGGAAACTGGAAGCGGCATCATCTCCGAGGCACACCTGCCATAAATTGTTTCTGAACCTACATAGTTCCTGAACCCGGCAAACAATGGCAAACATAGTTTCTAACCCGACAAAAAGAGTTGCTGAACATTGCTGAACCGTAGATTCTGAGCCCGCCCAGTTTCTGAACCCTAGTTTCTGAACCGTGGTTTTAGTTTCTGAACACTAGTTTCTGAATTCGGGTCAGTTTCTGAACTTGAGTTGGTTCAACATGGTCAGTACTGTTGAGCTGTTTTATTGCAGCAGCACCAAGGCCTCACAAGACAAGGCTTCGCACTTGGAGTCTAGCCTGGCAAATCACTTGGCTGCTAGGCTTGGCAACTTGGCAAATCGTTTTGCACATGAAAGCAAGCTGACATATGCTAGGATCACGTTGCTGTAGAGAAAAAGCTGAAAAAGCACTTCTGATCTGGAGCGGTTAAGGTCTGCCAAGGGTACATCTTGACGAGCCCTCGCAGGCAAGCATCAGCTACCTGCGCCACATTTGTTGGGGTCGTGTTACGAAGCAAACACACCTCTTAAATGCCTTTGCTCAATTCCACTTCAAATGCCACACACCTTTGTATATTTTTTTCCTGCACCGAAACCACGAAACTGCATATTGCGATCGGGTGCTGCTGGTTGCTCTTAGAGCCTCGAACTGTAAGGAGTTGATCCCAAGAAGCGTGGCTGGGACACGTGTCTTGAAGCGGCCCCACTTCTTTTGGTGAGTATTCTTATAGTGTTCATGACACGTTGGTCCCTTTTTCACCCGCTTCCTTCAGGATAGGCCCCCTTTCCAAACTGGCCAACGTTGATGCCCCACTGTCGGTGGTGCCATGCAAGACCTGAGCAGCTGGCAAGATTAGCAAAACAACATTCCAAAGAGCGACAATGTATGTCTGTGGGTCCCTGGTTGACCACCGATAATAAACAGAATAGAATAGACATGAATAGACTGCCTCGGAGGTCAACCTACCAGGGTTTGGGGCTCCGGGTTTTGACCCGTAGTCATATGCGGGAAAGAAAGCCAGCGGCAGCCATCTGTCCGGCATGAGCAGCATCGCTCAGCTCCTGGATTCGTTTCACCAAAAGTTGAACATAGCTTGCTTGTTTCTAGTAGCTTCTTGTTACTACTAGTAAGGCACTTGTTACTAGTAGCGATGCACTTGTTACTACTAGCTTTTTGTTAGATCAAACCTCAACGCTTCCAGGAAGACCTCCCAAAGACCCCTGGAAGAAGGGAAATAGACCAAAACCCATTGGGCCAGGGGCTCCCTATTACAACACACACCCCAAATCCGAAATCGGACAAATGTGGCCACTTTCACCCCAAAAGTCCCCTTCCCCCAGTCTTTGCTTTCGTCTGAACCACCAATGGTCAAACAGGATTACCCAAAACGGACTCGTCCAAAGAATCCGCCGGCTTCCCAGCTCACTGCAAGAAACGAAGGTCAAGGCTACTGGAAAAGCTAAGTTCTGTGCCAGAACTGGATCGTGAACGAACTCGCAGTCTTCTACAGTCTTAGCATTTCGGTTGGATGAAGAATTCATGCTTGCAGGTTGAGAGAGACGGACAATGGGTCAACCCAATAAACATGTACTGTACATTGTATTTTTAGCTCTTTTGCATTCCGAACTTAACTTGTTGATGGTGCACCCACGTCACAAAGCCACTGCGAGCTAGATTGAAGGAGGTTGAGTGTACTTGACCAACAGTTGCTGAGTCTGTGGACGCTATGCTAGCGGTAGCTATGCGGAATGAAAACCCATTGGCCAAACTGAATTACAAGGATCAGCCAGCAAAACGAATCCCATGACAGCACGGGCAACGAGTTGAACAAAATGAACGTTCACTGTAATTGAATCCGCCGGCCTGCCGGCGTGTTTTGTGGATTGTTCTGGTTAGTATTGCTTGTATTGGTTAGTATTGCTTGAGTATTGTCTCTCCGCGCGAGATTTTCGATAGCCTGACGCTCCCCCCCCCCAGTAGGTAGTAGGTAGTAGGTAGTAGGTAGTAGGTGGTACGTAGTAGGTAGTAGGTAGTAGGTAGTAGGTAGTAGGTCGTAGGTCATAGGTCGTAGGTAGTAGGTAGTAGGTGGTACGTAGTAGGTAGTAGGTGGTACGAAGGTAGTAGGTAGTAGGTAGTAGGTCGTAGGTCATAGGTCACAGGTCGTAGGTCGTAGGTCGCAGGTAGTAGGTAGTAGGTAGTAGGTCGTAGGTCGTAGGTCATAGGTCGTAGGTAGTAGGTCGCTGGATCAGAATAGACAACCATTGGACTGAGACATGTCGATCGCTGGATCAGAATAGACAACCTCTGATTCGGATTCGTTCCATTTCATTGTAAAACGACTTCGCTTGAAATCCACAGCAACAAACTCTCCCAGCAAAATGTGCAACTCCAATGCACCCACAAGTCTGACTGAGCAGGGTATTGTTGTTCGATGTCATTCTGGGTCTTTCATTTCAAACGGTTTGGAGAAAAAAACGACAAATCATGCCAGATCTAGAAATTCTTCGGTCGCTTTGAAGCCTTCTGTGTGTGAAAAAGAATATCTGGTGCGTGTCGCAATCCCTCGAGATGGTCGAAAAAAAGATCTGAAAAGGAAAACATGCACACGGCCAAGTAGCTTGGAAGAAGAATCGTTTTCAAGGTCATGTTTTGTGGATAGTCTTGGTTCGCATTGCTTGTGTTGGCTTCACTTGGTTCCTCTTAGGTGATTCGACTGAGACATGCCGGTTCGGATCGCTGGATCAGAATAGACAACCTCTGATTCGGATTTGTTCCATTTCATGGTCAAACAACCTTGAAATAAACATCAACAAACTCACCCAGCCAAATGTGCACCTCCAATGCACCAACAAGTATGATTGAGCAGGGTATTGTATCATTAAGCTGCCTGCCAATGCGGGCTCGAGCTGGTGGCCGGCGGCATGCCGAAGGCTGTAAATTTAGGACTGTGATTGATGCACAAGATTGGCCAATTCTGATGCAATTCGCCTCTTCCATGATCTGATGCAACTCAGGCGCGGACAAACAATAGCGGATTGATGCTCGGCGCTGCTGGCATTTGTTGCGTGCAGCATGGGGCGGAAGAATCCCTACAGTAGTCTCCGCACTTTCAATCAAATCAAACAGGGTGCATCGAGAACTGATTAATATTGATCAAATACTCACCTCTGATTCACTTTAAGCGGAAACAACTTGAGCTACATGTGGATCAGAAACGGATAGTGGCCCGACCTGCAACAGCCGGACACTTCAGGCTGGGAAGTTGACTTTTGCAGAACTCTCTTGAAACAATGTCCGGCTGTCTGTACAATCAGGACATGTTGGGCAGCCTAGTGGCTCGCTGAGGGAACAGGATGTTTCTTTAGAAACTTTGATCCTGCTCATATCCTGTCGGTCCTGCTCTCTCTGTGATACCTGATAGATAGGGAAAAACAATTGCGGCCCAATGCAGCTCAGCTGCACGTCCTCTTGCACCAGCAATAATGGAAAACAAAGCATTGCTTGTCAGGTGATACCCTCCAAGTCACTGTGCAAGTCTTCTTGAAAAACAAAGCACATGCTGATGCAAAGTAGAGCACCAAATGGCCAGGCTAGTGAACCTAGCTCCAAAATCAAGGTATTCGGGTCATCGGCCAATCGATTGAAGATAGCACCAAGGTATGCAATGTCACACTCATTATGACAACAAGCGAGAGTGAGCAGAGATCTTGATGTCCCTTGTGTCAACTACTAGATGAGTAGTTGACAACGTGTTTAACCATGTTGCATGATGTTTCGTGGAGCAATTCTTGTTTATTTAGGGCAAAATGCAGGTTACTGTTCATTAGGGCAGCTTGAGGCCGCTTCGCGCCATCAGCGCTTGGGGGCCGCCCATGACCTGTGAACAACAGCGGGTGTTCCGCAAGGAGCATGTCTCGCTATTTCAGGGGAGAATTGACACGGAGAATCAGCGAGTCAAAATAAAACACAAAAATTGCTTGAAACCACATTCATCTGCTACTTCTGGCCAGTTAAAGCACTTTCGCAAATTGACTGCATCTTTCTGTGCAGTCGAGTTTCAGCATGCCTTGGTTTCATCGTCTAAGCCCCTGCTGGCACCAGCACAGTGTCCAGCAATCGGCAGGTACGATGGCCCTCCTCCTCACAGCGCAGGAGGAATATGTAGAGCAGTGCTGAGAAGTATCCAGAGTTTCTGCACCAGCAAGCATGTCATCATCATCATCATCATCATCATCATCATCATCATCATCATGATACTGTAAGTTAATCTGATGATGCCATTGTGCCTTATGTGGCTTTTCTCTCAGCAGCAAGGCTTTTCAACAAACTGTCTGTCAATACAAGCTGATCTCAATCCTCTGGCCTTTCTTTACCCTGTAAGATCTTTCAAGCGGACACCCAGTCAATTCATAGGAACGAATCCAATTGCGAACGCCGCGCCTTCATGATGCAGCAAATGCTCACCACTGAATTGCTCAAATCAGCCTGCATTTTCCAACAAACCAAGGCAAAACAAATGAAGAACACAGTGTTGTCGTTGTTTTCATTGATAATCAGGCTCTCAACAGGAAGGACACCTTGAGCCATTGGAGCTACATCTCGACTCGGGTTGCAAAAGTGACGCCCACACCATGGAACCGCAACCAATCCGGCCACAGCTTATACACCAATCAGGCCATCTTACGACAGCCTCATCAGCTTTCTCATTCATGAAGCGGGTGTCTGCCACAGAGATGTAGCCTGGAAGGAACGTACCATGGTATGCACATGCAATATGCACAATATCATCTAGCATATTGCATGGCATACCATATAGATCCATATTTCATGAGCCAATATGCTCATGGCTTTCCTCAGGATCCAACTCACTTCCAAACCTTGGGTCTCTAGGTCTTCGCGGACGGACGTGCGGACCTTAGGCAAGACGCACTCAAGCCCAGACAAAGGTACAGGATACTTACGCATGGCCTAAACAAGACACAGAAAAAGAACATCTCAAGGCTCAAGGTCAAAAATAAATCACATGTTAATCACATGTTGCATTTAACAGCAGTCGATACAACACAACAGCCTCAGACAATCTCTGACGGATACGCTTTTAAGTCTTCAACCGACCAAGGTGAAGCGCCCTTGGCTGTTGTGGCAGCACAAAGTGCCTTGTAAATTGCAGGCGCCTGCAAACATGGATTCACAAAAAATAACACACACACACACACACCACATGGATGCACGGATGCACGCTACACTCGCTTCACAGCCGAGGCCTTCTGGCGCATGCTCGGCGAGAGGTATGAATTTCGGGAGGAGCGAGCCACCCTCGGAATGAAAACACCCGCCCAAAAAAAACGGGATTATCATTGATTATCTGTGTCTGTATAGGATGTATAGGATTGTTTTGGTCCATCGATGTTTCGCCTTGGTTCACCTTGAAAGTTCTGCCTGGAAGACTGCGCACTTATGAGGCCATGGCCCGTCTGACTCGCGTGAGGTGGGCACCACGTGCAAAGCAATACGATGATCAAGCAGGAGGTCCTCATGACAGATGGTCACATGGTCAAGCCAAACGATGACTGGAAGCCTCAAACACAACAAGCGTCCTCCAACATTCTTGCAATGACCACACATTGCATGGCATCCTTCTGCCCGAAGATTGCAACATCGGGCTGTACCAGGTTGAAGAACTTGAGACCTGAGAAGTTAACAAATATCGGCAGGTGTAGTCGATTTGACATTCATTTGTTTTCTGGAGACAGGTCTCAGGGCAGGGCATACTGTTGCCACACCCGTGAAAAAATGAGGACGATCAGCAGCCTTTTTCCGATGGGCCAAGGGCTGGAGAACTTCAAACTACCTCCACAGTTATTACTAGTAGCTTCTTGTTAGTAGTAGCGATGGCCTCCACCTAATAGCGCCCTTGTTACTAGTCACAAGTTCAGCCTCGCTCTTGCCCTCTACAAAATGCGGCACGACCTTGCTGCGCAGCACACAAGCGGCAAATGCTGCGCAGTAGAGCGGCCGACCGAGTTTCGGTCGCAAGAAAACGTCGGCGATCTACTGGACAAAATCAATGGCACAACAAGCTTAAAGCGCGTTGTCACTATGGGCCATCGGGGCCCTGACCATCGTACCACCTGGACTTCCAGTTGGATACCTCGAAACAGGAAGCATGCAGTGGCGCTCCGAAGATCGAAGGTCAACCGGACTGGCGACCGGCCACCGTGGCACCATGGCTCCCTCGCAAGGCCGAGAAGCATTTCATTGGCTGAAGGCGTGAACAGCGCCGTGGCCCCTCGCTCGCGCAGCTTCTGCACGTCCTGACGTGGTGTTTTGTCCCTGATTCTTTTTAAATATGCATGATGCGCAGCTGGTCCACTGGTTGATACAGGCTCATTCTAGACACATCAACGTCGCCCAAAAGCACAAGCACTTTTGAGACGCTCCTCCTCAAGGGTGCGTGGATATGTATCCAGGTCCTGGCAAAAACACTCCGTGCCAACTTCGACCAGGCGACCCAGAAAACGTGGAGTCTTGTAATCTGCAAAAAAGTCAAAAAAAATAGAACGTGATGAGATGTGTCAAATGTGTTGAGTGTTTCAGTATGTCTCAATGCTCCACGCACACCGTGCAAGAAACTTCCAGCCCATCCGACCATCCTCGTGAGACGCAAATTGTGATGGGTTCACAAAGATGGACACGATGGCCTCTGAGAGCCATGTAGGGCAAATCTTGTTCATGTGCTTCGTCCATGCATAGAAAGTCGTATAAATTTCAAAAGCATACCAGGAACTTTATCAGCTCCAGCTTCTGTGTGTTCAGATTCATGTGAAATGGGCCCTCGCGGTCTTTGTGGCACATCTTCAAGCACAAACACCAAAGATTACACGCCTCGTCAGCTCGTTGCAGCGCCGCGTCGACCAACTCCAGGTGTCCTTCATGAAGGTTGCCCATGGTCGGCACGAACCTCGCAGAAAACGGTGGGAGATCAAACATGTTGATGCGAGGAGAATATAGGAGAATAGGGTGAAAGAAATAGACAAATAAATCATGGAACAGGTCTTGTACAGTACATCTTGTTCTTTCCGACATTACAAAGATCCAATGACTTCTAAAAACACACAAAAACAACCGAATTACTAAACTAACATCCAACCAAAGCTAAGAATGGGTCGCAACGCGGCGTCCCTGCTCCGCAACTTGCCGCCTCCAGTCCTTGCTCGGCTACAAATTGTAAAGGAAGTTGCTTGCAAGTTGAAATGGATTCATCTTTCAGCTTGTGGCGATCAACTCTGCATTGGAGCACAGCCGCTTAGGCCTAAGGCAGTGTACTTGCAAAATCTTTCACGTCTGTTCTGACGAAGAACATGTTCACTGGGGAAGGTGCTCTATCCTTGTGCCAGTGGCTGCCTGCAGAAACAGGCAACTCCAGGGAACTCTGAAACTTTGGAGAAGGTACATGTGTATGTGTGTTTTTTTCCTCCCTAGAACAAACATGGAAGTGGAAAAGCTCCTGTTTGTAGAATAAATGTGTCTTTCCAGTGGCCATTTTCCACTTCCATGTTAGTTCCAGGGAGAGTATTCTTTTGGAGTCGTAATATGTCGTCATTAGTCATTCCAGAGCCACAGGAGTTGAAAAGGCCAAACCAAAATCTCTGTCTGTGGCGGGTGCCACGGTGCCACACGCGCGACATGATGCGACATGCCACACCTGCGAAATGCCTCGTGTACCAGCCAGGCGTGCACCGTTGACAGCCAAACGCTGCCTGCAAACGTCCAGCCAAACAGTAACTCCGGCGGTGACGACTTTGGACGAGGACAACTCAGGCGGTGACACTGGCAACAAACGCCCATGCAGGAGTTCAAAGCCAAAGCTACCTTGCGAGTGACACTCGCCATGTCGGCAATTGAACAAAATATCTGCATGCATCTGCACGCCACTTGTTGATTGCGTGCAATGAGTTTCTGAAAGAAGCACAAGCTCTCTGACTCTCTGAACTTGACCAGTCAAAAGCCCGTAGTGCTTCGGGGCGCTGGTGGTGTCAGTCCTTTCTGCCCCTGCGGGTCCCCTGCGGGTCCCGAAGCCCGTGTCGGAGGGGGACCCCTGAGGAGCCCTGAACAAACGCTGAGGTTTGGCCCTTTTTGCTACACGGACGTCCAAGGTCTGCTCCCACGGCGAGAACGGAGCTGGTGAACATCTCTGGTTTGCTATGGGTTTGGACGCCTGAGAGTGGCACCCTAAGCAATAGAGGCATAGGCTATTAGGTATAATCGGATGGCACAGGCAAACTAGATTGAGCATGTTTTCAACCTTTCAGCTGGTGTATCTTGTCCTGCCGCAACTTGCCTGGCGTGCGGTGCGAAGAAGCCTGAAAGCAGCCAATGCAGAATGCAGCATCTCACATATGCATGTTTGTTTGTCAATATCCAGCAAGAGTTTCGTCTTCCAAAGACAGCCGTGCTGTCGTTCTAAGCCAAAGGCTGAGTGGCCATTCACAGTAGATGTCTCTGCAGGCTCCTTGCCGACGACTCTAACTATATCATTCGGATGCTTGCTTCATCTGGGCGATTTTTCCCTTTGACGGAAACCTTCTGAAATTGGTGGCTATCTACTACCTACCGCTCAAGAAGAGACAATTTACCATAATTCAACAGATGTGGTTGATAACTGAAGGTCTTATCTATCAAAGGATCCATGCGACCCAGAGCTGGTCCTGCGTGAGGCTCAGTAGAGGCACCTGTCCCGTTTTGCCACTCATCAGAGTTGTGAATTGGGTATCACGAAAACCAACGGGTCTAGGCCGACGGTCGAGGCCTTGATTCCATTACACCAGTGACGTCCACATCGTTCCCGCCTGCGGCAAGAGCTGCTGCAGCTTGTGCAACTCCTGATGAAAGGGTGAGTAGTTTGCACCTAACCTGTGTGATGGAAAAAATGGCTTGAAACATCTTGAAACCATGTGCAGCTTTGATTTCTTCAAACATGTAATCATGTATACTGTATGCATACAGGTGTTGTCCCATAGCCAAACAATATGATTGGCACAAAGTGCTGAGTGGCCTACACTGAATCTGACAAACTACCCAAAAACAAACTCCAGTCGTGCAAAGGCAGCATTTGACATGCGCTCGCGGATCGATGCCATTGGCCGTTTCTCTCCTCTGCTGGCATATGTCTAGAATACTTGTCTCCAGGAAACTGCCCTTGGCGCACAAAAATACATGCCTGCAAAAAAAGCACTTAATCATCATCCCAAATCTCTGTCAGCCAAGAACTTTGACCATGCAGCTATGGAGTGCTTGGATTATTCCACGGCATCTATTCGCTAGGCCGTAGAGGTGGTAGCTAGGTAGTAGAAGAGGTAGCTAGTAGTTTAAGTAGCTACTACTAGGGACGCAGGATAGTTCACAGGGAAGCTTCCTTGAAGAAGCGCTCACACTAATGATTTGGTGTCTAGATTTTTAGGGAAACTTACTGTAACAATAGAAACAACTTGCTCCACCACAGGTTCTCTCAGAGCGTCACCGCTGCGAACCTCTTTGACATAGGTCTCATACGCCTTAGTGAATGTGCCAAACCTTCTCAAGTAAATGAAACACCATTGACCTTGGTCTTTTTTTAAAGGCAGCAAACCAGTCTAGCCACAGTAGGTTTTACCAAACATCCAAAAGAAGTACACCGTACACCCATATTGCTACCTGTTGTTTGCCCAGGTTCCGCACCATGGCAGAGGCCCGCCCCACGTCGGCAAACATCTTGGCGAAGGAAGGTGGTCCTGAATCGGGAAGGGGAAATAACGAGAAGGTGGTCCAGCACACTGATCTTGCGTATACTCCTTCATCCTTCTGCTGGCTGGTCCATCCAGTGAACATGATTGAACTTCGTTTCGAAACAAATCAAATCGAAACATCGGGTTCAAAGGTGAAAATCTGTTCTTGTGCAAAAAGGGGTGTAGTATTTTCGTACGCTTTTATGCTTCCACCGCAGCATTCTGGGGTGTGGTGTGGCAAATGGGTGAAAGCTGCAAAACTCAAAGTAGAAGAATCTCAACAGTTTCACACCAGTGATCCAATTCCATTATTCATAGTAATAACATAAATCTATGATAATATATGTATGGTCAAAAGTCTCAAGTGCACATATCCAGCATATATTAGCAGAAAGCTCATTTTGACCGGCAGTGCCGGTAGTGTCAAAATGAGTGAGACCTACAAGGCCTCTTTGACTCTCAGCCAGCTGTTTCAAAATTGATGTTGCCAAATGCCGTAGATTTAGCTGCGGTACGCTCGAGTGCTTGGTCTGCAGCCATGGGTATATGCAAGCACATGATCCGGAGCACCATCCACAACTGCCGATTGAAACACAACCATTCCTGTACGGGCCCGCCCTCAGCGAGATGGAGAATTGCTTGAGAGATAGACGAATTGAAGAGAGGAGAGTGTGGGGGGCGGCAGAGGGAGAGGGAGGAGAGGGAGAGGGAGGAGAGGGAGAGGGAGGAGAGGGAGGGAGGAGAGAGGCAAAAGGAGTTCATGGCGACAGAGTCTAATTACTATGAAAAGGGGTCCAATGGAAAGGATTGCATCTTTTCAAAATATCTCAAGAGAAGCTTCCGCGGCATCCGCCCACTCAGTGGCGGGCGGCCATGCATGCCGAGCATATCATCGCACACCAGGACCTGGCAGATTCGATCAGCAGGACGATCCTTCGACCGGAGAGATAAAAGAAATTGTCATCATGAAACCTGACATCCCAAAATTGAATACATTATTACAATATGAATCAATATGATAAATATGCAATATGTCATGAATCAATTCTAATCAAATGATAAGTATATTTTCAGTATAATATGTAATTACATGTAATGGGACTGGGACCCTTGCCTTTTCTCTCCAAATCAAAGTTTTTGCCTCTGTGGGCTTTTTTTCAGCACGAGACCACAACGGCGGATCGATGATCCGGTTCCATGGCCCCGAGACGACACTCTGACATGCAAAGAGAGCGGAGCATCTGCGCTTCAAAGGCGTGGCACTTGTTACTAGTAGCTTCTTGTTACTACTAGTAAGGCACCTGTTACTACTAGCGTGGCACTTGTTTCTACTAGCCGAAGATGTCGCATGGCAGGTGCTCCCGGAACACTGTGGCGATTGTTGCCGCAGTTCATTTGGCAATGGTCCTGCCAACCATCAGGCAGAACGTCAAGCTGAGCATCACTGGAGTTACGATACTGGTGAACATATCGCCGCTGCCCATGGTGGGATACTCCCGGCCAATAGTGAATCCTGGTTGCTGAGCAAAATCAAACTCATTCAAACTCGAAACAAAACGCTAACTCACACTAGGGCTTCTCTGGACTTACGAAAGGAGCGCAACACCGCCTTCAAAGAATTCCACACAGGATTAAAGGCTGACCTTTTTTCAAAAGACTTCGCCTTTTTTGCAACTTCCGATTTCCCACAAGCACGGTCCTTTTCCCGACTCCGAGTTCTCAACAAGTCCCTGTGAGGTGAATGGCATAGGAGTGCCAGCACTGCGGGCACGCACACGTGCTACCAATGTGCTGATGGAGTTCTGCTGGGCAAGCTGGCTCACCTGCTGGCCTGGAGTCTGCATGGCGTGTGCGGGGAGGCAAACTCAACCGGCGGGCGAAGTGACTTCTCAGCTTGAACCGAGAAGAAAGGCGTCACTTGGCACTGCACTCTGTGCAGTTTTGAGCACAAAGCATGCAGCCTTTGAGTGCGAAACACGGAGCTTGCAGGCTTAACCTTAAGCCTTCCATGGCATGGTTTTCTGATTTTCGCCGGTCTCTGTTAGCCAACCGCTGTGGCAGAACACTTTAGATGAAGACATGTCGAAACAACACGGTGACCGACGGTGAAATATGGTGTGAAAAGTCGAAGGCTGACCTGGCCAGCGACTTTGCCGCCAGCGCCAATTCCGATGACGGGACAAGAGATGGAGGCCTGTACCTGGGTTGCTGATGCCAAAGGGTGTGAAAAGCATACACCATCAAGTTCACCAGGCCCAATTCTCAGGCAGGGACGGCTGTTCCCACCTCACCAGAAAAAGAGTTCAGCTTCTTTACAGGAAGATTCTCTGAAAAGCTCAGATCGCCTTTGCAAAGGGAACCGTTTCTGGGGGAGTTAAAGCAAATGTCTGAACCCAGCGACCCAGTACTCACGGCCTGTCTGCTGGGAGAATACGAGTTGAAGCGAGAAGCGTGACCTAATGATTCGTGCCTCCTCCGGGACCATCTCCACAACAAGTAGCACACAACCAGCACCACTCAACTCCTCCACCACAAAGCGCAGCAGCGCGGCAAGCAAAGGAACATGGACTATGTATTTCTCCATCCAAAACTGGAAAGAATTTTCTGAAATCGGCGTCATGATCGGCACCGGTAACTAGTGAATGGATGTATCTAGTAGCAACCATATTATTATGAAGGCAGCTCAGCATGTGCCGCAAAACAGCCGCTGTCCTTTGCATCTGAGATGATTTCCATGGCACTTGTGGCTGAGGTGCCTCCCCAAAAAGAGAAAACCGAAAAGAATCTCTTCGAAGTCCACGGGAGGGGGCGAGAAGAAACCCGGCCTTGTAGTCGAAAACCTCCTTGCAGCAGTGCCTGAGCTCCCATGACAGCGCGACGCTAAAAGAGCAGCCAACTGGCTGTTGACTGTTGACTGGAAGTTGCAGAATTTTACGGGTTTCCAAAAGCAACACGACATCCTCTTGTGCTTGTGATAAGATGTCTGACTCCGGCGCAGATGGCGCGCGCGTGGAATTTCTCTTCAGCGGGGAAAAACTCCACAGACGTTTATTATGCTCAATATATACTCAAGCCACAGTCTACCAATGTCTACGATGCACACCCCAGTCTTAGCCCAGTTCTAGCCTCGCGTGGCTACCGCTGCTAGGGTCAGGGCTCTCTGAGGCTCTAGGCCAATGTGGCTCATCACGGCAATGCCAGCCTGGCATTTGCAAAATCAAGAGGTATCTCTGGAAAACAAACATGGAATTCTTGGAAAAGGTCTTCTAGAAGGTGCAAGGGTAACAGCATTTGGGACCAAATCTTTTGTGGAAGCAAGGCGGTTGGAACTACCCGACGTTTGTGCGGATAGAGCGGAGACAAGCTGAGCTGTCTTTCATGATTCAATGATTCATGAAAGGAACACCTCAGTATCCTCAGTCAATATGAAGATCATTGCATCAATTCTAGTGAGGCCCCTACATGGATTGGCCGAGGGGCAAAAACTCTCGGAACACCAATGGTACAAGTATCGAACATGATCTGAATCTGATCTGAGCTTGCGGCATTGGTCAGCGCTCTCACCACCGGTGCAAGGTGACCTCACCACCGGTGCAAGTGACATTTACATTCCCTGGAATTAACATGGTTACGTGGATGGCATGACCATGCATGGCCCTTTGGAAGACCATGTTCCTCTGCAAACAGGCGGGGTTTCTACTTCCATGTTACTTCCAGGCAGAGTACACACGTGCAAACAGTCGCTGGCAGGAAGGGAGCCTCCAAACATCAATGAATCAAGCCGTCTGAAACCATTCGATTTCAATTTGAGGCCAGGTGAGATTTGAGGCCAGGGTCGACAACAACTTCGCGGAAGACCAAAGTCCCAGGTTTCATGACATTGGACATACACGGCGGGGACAAAAGTTACGCTTCTCTGCTTCTCCAGCAAGCAATTCATTCATGTCTTGCACCTGCCACACAAAATGACCCTCCAAGTTTGACCCGAACGTAACCATAGCACGTGAATAAATGAAAAACCTCAGAAGCATAAGGCACAACATGTCGTTCTCCTGAAATATTTTGGGAAGCAAAGATATCGAATCCAATTGGATACTGATACAGTATTTGAATTGGAGACCAAGCTACTTCCACTCTCAGTCAGCCTGTGTTCCTCTTTTGAACAAGCCTGCTTTGTCAAGTGTTGCCCCACCCGGCTGATCATAGGGTCACCCACTTCCTCCTTCCAACTTCACAACATCAGCACCTGGAGCTTCAAAGAATTCCAAGCTTAGTTCAGGTTCCTCTCCGTTTGTCTTGAAAACATCAGCACCATGTTTCTGCAGTTCTCGCCCTCTTGCTGATTCTCGCGAGGTTTTCTGATTTTCTCTATCCCGCTGAAGACATTCGCCTGCGACCCGGAAGGCTGCAGCATTGCGAAGCGCATCCTCCATGGTCAAATATGAACCTCAAGGCAGCTGGATGCCCATGAGTGGCGTTTGGTTTTGGGTCTTTGGTGTAGGAGTCTTTTGTATGTTCTAGTATTTATTTTGTTAGACTAGTAATTCATTAACAATTTTGCAATGTATTGAGAGTCTTCATATTTCAAGACTCTTTTGCCACACCGGCACTGCAATCGAACTGAGGGCCAAACCGAAGGGCATGTCCTGGCTATGAAAAGGTGTGGGATGCTGGACTTTCCCTGCTGAAGCGGATATCTGTCCATGCCAGCTTGGTTTTCAGGTTCTGATCTCCCACAGACCGAACCGGTACGAGCTTTGTCTGTCCTGTTTTGAGAGACATCTGACCAGATCTGTGACCCTTTCGTTGAAGTTGAAATAGGAACATCTCGGAATCTACGACTGTGTCCCGACCAAACATGTCTCGCGTGACCCCGATGACCAGCGGCTTCGGAGAGGTGGCAGCACCAGCTGCGTCCACCCCGCGACGCACAGCCGTGGTGGCTCGGATCATGTCCTGAAGCCAGAGGCATGTGGATCATTGTGGATACATTTCGAGATGTATATAATGTGGGTGGCCAAAGGTTGAGAATGGAGTATCAGAGATTCGAGATGTGATGCAACATATTGTTTATATTATTAGCCGTTGCCGAGCCATCCTTGTGACGATATTATCTTGTCTTTGTAACTGTTGGTGAAGGATCACGGTGATGGCCTAGTGTAACACTCACTTTTGCTTCAGCAACTTGTTGATAGACTCAGGAAATCTCAGGAACACTGTCACGAATCAAAAGTTGTTCGAAGCATGTCAATTTCAGCCGGTCACCCAACACGGCCTCCATTGTGACACCCACAGTGTCTGGCAAGCCAAGCCTCCCCAATTCCATCTGCCAATGCCAAGTCTATCTTCCTCACGTGCCTTCCATTTCAAACTCCTTCTCATTGCGACATCAAACTGAGCTTCCCGCCGGCAATTGCCAAGGCCTCACACATGTGGAGTTTTTTTGTCCGCTTCTGTCCCCCTACTACTGAATTATGTAGGTGCCTACTTAATTCAGTAAGGGCTAAGATAGCTTCTATGTAGGATGCAGGATAGCGGCGGGAGGAGCCTCCTTGAAGAAGCGTGAAGCACTGATGATTTGGTTCCTAGATTTTTAGGGGATCTATCCCTACCATCTTGGGGGAGTGGGCGGGGGGGGGTCAAATCCAAACATCCCTACCATGGGGATCTTAATCCGTCGTCTTCTTCTTCTTGTAGAATCGTATTCCACAAAGAAAACCAGGGCCCGCGCTGTCACCCACCAAGACCAGTTCCACACCGGCTTGACGGGCGAAGCGGCCAGATGGAAAGTCATAGGCCGTGACCTTGAGAAAAAACAATTGAAAATTGCTGAACATGGTCTTGAACTCATCACACAATCTTACTGGTGAGGTGCTTTTGGTATCTGTATGTTTTTCTCTATCACACAATCTGAAAATGGTGCTTTTGGCTTTTGCGCCCTTGCCAGTGCTTATCTTTACCAGAATGTCCTGGTGGTACACTGCGAACATGTTGGAAGGTCGCTGCACCCAAAAACTGTCAGCACTGCCGCGGCCCGGTCAAAGCCGGATGGGATGGAATTCAGACCGGCAAAGGCTGGGACAAGGTGTTGAAGGCGGTTTTTTTATATCTGCGAATGCCGGTCGTAATTCAACACATTCCTGTCAATGGTTTAAGTTGCGCTGTGGTTGACCTTAAGCGGTGACACACAATCACGGATACCATGTTTCATTTCAGTTGCCTTGCAGAATCCTGTACTCACACGTCATCAGAAGCAGCCTGATTGGTTGATCAGATTCCACCGTAGGTTGTCCCGGATGCGTAGATCTCACCACTCCGCCGGAACAAACATAATTAGAAACAACAGTCATTCCATCTCATTCCTCTAAGAAAGACTGTGGAACAGGCTCTTCTGCAAGGAAGTGGCCGGAAGATGCCGGAAGTGCTTTTTCCAATTAACTTGACGAGAAAAAAAGCTCATCTGTTGTCTACAATCGCGTTTTGGAGGCTTTAAAATAGCTGTTAAAAGCAGTTGGGCGGTTTGTCTCTGGGATGTCGGGCCATAGAGAGCTTTTCACCCCGCTCGAAGCGGCGCCGCACTCCCGCCAGGCCCAATGGCTTTGCCTTTCAGCTTAAAGGACTGGTGTAAATGGAGAATGGGCAATGGCAATGGTTGACCTTCTTAGAAATATGATATGATATGATAGACTCAAAGGTGATGTAGAAAAACATCAGAAGATTCATGAAGATTCAAGAATTTTCTGGCCACCTTGGATTCTTCCAAATTCACCGTGAATCTTAGACTCCAACAGCGGCTGCCTTCGGCTTCTCACCTCCTGATACACTGGCTCGATCCAGGAGAATCCGAACCAAGAGAACAGTGAACGACTTGGGAGACATCTCCGTTGCCATCTCCCTTGCCATGGTGGCGTCATCCCCTAAGTCCTGTGGTCCCCTCTGCACCGTTCGTCCCAGCACCGTTGACCCCACCTCAGTCTACGAGTCTTCTGGTCGACTCTTCCTGTATCTTCGTTTCACCAGCGGTCTTTGTCCAGTAATCTGGTCATGAACGAGCTGAATACGTGTTGATCACATAATTGCGGCCGTTGCCAAGAATTAGACACGCAAAAACGAATTCTTGGCATCTGTGTGCATCTGTATTGTAACGGCAAAAATGAATCAAACTAAGCCCGGTATACAGAAGCATACTAATACAAATTATAACTTATAACATATAACCGTCCTTTATAACTTATACAGTATACAAATTCCATCAAATTCCAACTTCCATCCACTTGCATCCTAAAGCGCAGCCGCTGTTGCTCCCGATCTCTCCCGACCTCCTGAGGATCGGTCCGTAAAGGCTCTCGAGACCGTTCACGGGGTCCTCCCCGTTGTTTTGGTCCGGTGCCTGGTGGAACCGGCACTTGAAGCAGCGCGAACAGCTTTCTGAGCATTCTGTGAAAGAGTTGTCGAGCAAATGTTCTCTTCTTCTTCTTCTTCTTCTTCTTCTTCTTCTTGTGCAGCCTTCTTCTGGTCATCCAGCCGGGTAGTCATGGACGCGTTTGATCGAGCACCATAGATGATGAACTTGGACCTTGTCAAAAAATCGCAGATATTCGGCAAAGACCTCCTCTCATCTCCTCTCTAATTATGCGCAGAATGATAAACAACATGGTGCAATAAAGGCATCACGTGAGCACAGCTCTTGGGCGGCAAGACCTGTGCTTCGGCCAGGTGTGAAAGTAGGTGTACATGTTCGTCACGGACGTCTGGGGTGGGATTGCCGTCATCGCCTGTGATGTTCGTGGCACGTGTTGTCAAGAAAGAAGAAACACGTCCTTTCTTATAGAAAAACTGACTGCCGAGCTAAGCTAAGCTGAGTATCTAATAATGAAACACAAACCAAAGTTGATGGACCGCATGACTTCAAGACACAGAATCTCAGCATCTCTCCAAAACCGATCCTTCAGGAAGTCTGTGAATGCTGCGCCTGTGAGCGTGGCATCTTTGCAAAGCATCCGCCCGGTAGACGCCGCAAAGCCGCCGAGAAGGCCGGCTCCAACGACTTCATGACACCTGCGACATTCGGCTCGGAGTGACGGACCGAGGCTGCTGAAATGCCCTGTTTTAAAGGCGTCTTTTCATGCGTCCTTTCGTGCGAAGTAGAACACAAAAAAGCAAGTGAACACCAAAGCCGTATGCCTCTTTGGAGTGCAGAAGGGGACCAGAGGCACTCACTGTGAAGAATGGCCGCGGATGTATTGATACAAAAGTGGACACTTCGTCTGCAATTGACCCGGATCAGTCAATCATGTCCATGGGTTTGAACTGAGGTTGTTTTAGATGTTAGATACATGTATAGTATGTATACATATACTGTGTACTGTATATATGGTGGTTGATCAATAATCGTTCATCCTGGACTGGCCATTCTTCGCGGAAAAAGTATCTTTCGCGGCCTCATCGCGAAGCATGGTCCTACAACCATGTCTAGCTAACATGGGCCGGAACATGTCATAGTGTCACAAAGTAGGGACAGACATCTTGCAGCATCACCCCAGTAGAAGGTTGAACGTTTCCACAGCTACTCAGGGTCACTTGCAGCATCTGTGCGACAATTGTGCCAATTAGAGTCAGGCAGAACTCAACCCAATCCTCGTGCCAGCTACCAACACAGGGTGATGCAGCTTGGGGAGTGTTGGCGGGCCTCAAGCTGGGAACCTGGACCTTAGCGGCACATTCGCGAATCTTTCGCGAAAGTTCACTGGTGTTTGCCCCGGGAAGCCGTAACACTTGCAAACATCTGCACAGCCCGTCAGAGCAGCTGCAGGTCGTTGCCTCACTGTTAGGGCTGTGCCTACTCAGGCTGCTAGTCTGTGACAGTGGGGACAGGAATCGGAGAATCCTTTACGCACTGACAGGGCTGGGAACGGAAACGTTGAGGCTTCAGTTCGTTGGTCTCCGCCCACCGGCTCTGCCGGAGGATTGCCTTGTATTTCTATTCTTTGTCAGTCCCTTAGAAAGGAAAACATATGAAAGCGATGACCTTCGATAAATCTTTCGCAGAAAAAACGCGATACTTTCGCGAACCTCATCGCGAATCTTTTGCGGATGGTTCTAACAACATCTGAAAGGCTGTTTTATATAAAACTCCCTACACAGGGTTTTCGATCAACTCCCATATATATATACATTGCAAGAACATGTGCCCAACAAGAAATCAGGAAGAGCAGAATGTAAAGGAAACCATCTGGGTAAGCTTTTGACTCTGACATGATTTGACTATTGAGCAGGCCATTACTGTATCAACTATCGATCAACACTTAACATTGGCCTTCATGCAAGTTGACATGTCAAAATGGTGGATTTGGCTCGGGCGCACCGAAGGCATCTTCAATGCCACTTGTGCAATGCTCCTAACTGCGTGTGCCACGAAGTCTGGCTGCGAGTGCCAAGACACGTAGACCTCACATCTGGCCAGAGTGAAATGTGGACCCTACTAGCTATGGCCTCCACCCTGCATGAATGACTGCACATGGGTAGTGAGGTCACAGCTTGAAATTCTCGCAAGACCAGCTGCACATTTGTCTCATCCACCAGCATCTCAATGGCCTTGACGAGCTGCATGGTCATGTGACGGGTAGCTGCATGGTATCACATGGTATCACCGATGACCACTGACTGAACAAGGCATCGAGTTGTTGCCCGATGACCACTGACGCGCCTTCAACTTCAAGCGCTTCATTTCTGGAGGATCGAAGGACTGACACCAGAAGTCTTGAGAAAGAAACAACCCATGGGAAAATACGGGAATGCTTCGAGAATGCTGAGGTTGTAAAAATACATCTCACAGCAACTCAAGCTTCGAAGTCACGGGACAGTGCCTGGACGAAGAACTCCCGGATCATTGCTCTAAAGAGCTCTGGTCGTGCCTGCGCGGCACACTGACAGTTGCTATCGATGCCTTGAGGTTGGCAATGGATCATCAAACAAACTGCTGGCGTTTGCTACTGGCGTTTCCAACATCATCTACACTGTGAGTGCAAGGCAAGCAGCTACAATTTGCAATGAACAAACAACGTGGCTGGTTCGTTACATATACACGGTGAGGTTGGCACACTGACAGTGCTATTTTATCCGTCTGCACCTTTTTCTCCTTCCTTACCTTCTCCCTCCGTCCGTATCATCCTCTACTTTGCTCCTTACCTTTCATACTTATTTCACTTATGTCCTTGCCTTTCCTCCTTCTTTACCTTCCCTTTTCCTTTTCCTTTTCCCTTGTCTTTCGCTGTCCCTTTTCCTTTCCTTTCCCTCCTGCCTGAGCCCCATGGACGGTTGGAATGATGTTCAAAAATGATTTGAACAAGTACAAGTAGTGCAAGCAATGCAAAGAAGAAGAAACCCGCATCTTCGCCACATGCAGCTACACTATACTAACGATCAGACTCTAACAGTACCTGACTCCTTTGCTTCGAGGTGAACCCCTTTATTCAACATGTTCAGTGACAATGTAGTCATTCAAACCCGTACAAGCATAGCCTTCAACTTGTGTGTGTCTTGGTGCGTCCTTGCTTGCGTTCCGAGTACATCTGTGTGGTATGGCAAGTCTGCTCGATGTTTCGCATCTGACCTCCACCAACGGGGCCAAAGCAGAAAGCACCGTGATGGACGCTTCGGATGTCGCCTCTTCAGGCGAACTCGGTGCGGTGCGAACTCGGTTTTTCTGGGAGGTCAGGTTGTAAGGTTGTTGATATGTCAACTCCTCACAACGAAGAATCCAACATCCAGAATCAAGCTTACAAATGCTGGTCTTCTTGGATGTTCGGCCCTTGAGACTTGACGTTGCAAACTTTGCCTGTCTCAAGCAGCGCATCAACGGCATTGCCACACTGCCAATCTCCTGCTGTCAGGTCCGCACATGAAATTCCACAAACTCAAACAAATCAAAAGCCTGTTCCACCAAGGACTCTACCACGTATAGGTCATTATAGGTCTATGAGATGCTATGAGATGCTTTGAGTGAGGATGATCGAAGTGGCACCTGAGCTGGTGCCAAATAGCAAAGGGCAACCGCTGCCGCCAAAGTCACACCTGACCGTCTCAAAGAGCCAAACGAAGAGTTTTCACCCGGTGGCATCAGGTTACATGATGCCCTGGGTCAAAACCGCCTGGTTGCATGGTTGAGCCCTGAAAATGCAGAGATTCCTCAACTGGAGGATGTGAACCTTCCATGGTTTGGTGGAACCTGCGGACTCGCGCACAGGATCCAATCCTCTCTGACCGGACTCCGCCCCCTTACAGTACCGCCCCGGACAGGTCAAAGCGGTCGACGTCTGATTCGGTAACCAAACGGTCTGATTCGGTAACCAAAACCGCTGATTCGGTAACCAAGACCCGCTGATTCGGTAACCATGACCCGCTGATTCGGTAACCAAAACCGCTGATTCGGCAACCAAAGCCGCTGATTCGGGAACCAGAACCAGGAAAGCAAACCAAAAACATTCCCCAAAAGAAGAAACTGATCGAATAGTAGGAGTAGTAGTAGTCGTCGTCGTAGTAGTAGTAGTATATAGTAGTAGTATATAGTAGTAGTAGTAGTAGTAGTAGTAGTAGTAGTAGTAGTAGTAGTA